CCCCCCCCCGGAGCCCACGGAAGGGCCGGGCTGGCGGCCCTCCGTCACACCCGGACATGACAGAATATCGATCTCCGGGGCCCGCCCCGGGCACGGCAGATGCCACTCGAAGGGACAGACTGCTGCCGGAGTCCGGTGAGGCCCCCGGAGCGGGCGCCCCGGCGGCGCGATCGCGCGCACTTTGCAGTGTCCTCCCTCGCCGCGGCCCCATGCCACAGGTGGATGTGTCCTCCTGAAAAGGCACCGCGTAGCCCGGAGATCGCGCGGCTCGGCCTCACACCGGGACCGATGTGCGATGAGCGGGCGAGGCAGCGGGCCGCAGGGGGCGGGGGAGAGCCCGGGCCAGTTAGAGTCCAGCGGCCCGGTCCCCGGCCCCGGCTCGCCCCCCCCCCCCCCGGCTGCGCGCCTCATATGCCAATGTTCAAAGTGTGAAAGCCTATTGCCCTGCCAGCCGGATGTTATTTGGCCCGCCCAGCGCGCCCTGCATGTGACGGCGAATGTGCCGGGGGAGCCTGGCCGCCGCCAAGCGGCGCTGGGGCCCAAAGACGCGCACTTAACTTTCACAGGGGACTCGCGTGCGCATGCGCCCGGGCCGCCGGCAGGCAGGAGTGCAGAGACGAGGACGGCGCCAGGGTCGCGGGCGCCCCACACACTCCCCCGCTACCGGGCTCCTGGCGGGAGCCAGCCGGCCGGCCTTTTGGGGCGGCACACCGGCAGACCTGCGCTTTTCCGCCTCCGGCCGTGCCGCCCGCCCGGAAACACACCCCATGGGCGGGGAGACGCCGAGCGCCGAACAACCGCCGGACAAAGGGGCACCGCACCCAGGCACCGGGGCTCGGGCCGCCGGAGAATAGCCGAGCCCCTCTCCTGCGCAGATGCCCTGGGAAGGGCCGCCACACGAGCCGGAGGCCGGCCCCGCCCCAAGGACATGCTTGCACACGCGCGCGCGCGCGCGCGCGCACGGACGCACGCCGCACGAAAGTGAGCCCAGGCAGATGGATCGCGCGGTGTCCACACCGGCAGAGCGGCACCCGCCGGCGACATCCGCAATAGCATGCATGTGCTCTACCCTCCCGTGCCATCGGTTAAGTATAGATTAATTGGATCCAGTGCCCAGGACACAGTCTATCGCCCGGGGGCCATCTGAAACGGCGGGTTCGCCCTTCCGCCCATCTGAAGCTCCCCTGACCGAGCCCTCATGCTTGAGACGCGTTCTGAAAGGACAAGGGTCTGCGCCGTCGGCCCGGCGCCCGCGCGCGGCCAAACTCCAGGGCCCTGCACAGGGCACTCAGCCGCAAGCCCACCGGGCTCCCTCTCCAATCCGATGGGCGGGCGGCCAGCGGCGGGGCGCGGGGCTTTTGACACACCCTCCCCGGGTGGAGGGAAAATGAAAACCGTCCGGCCGCCCTCTCGCCAAAGTGCATCTGCGAACGTCCCACAGGCGGTCGGCGCGCGCCCGTCCTGCCGCCGTCCCACCACAGCAGGGCGGGGCTCCTCCTCGAACACCAGGGCAGGGAGAAGGCAGCCCTGGACCGCGGGGCAGGCGAGCAGAGGGGGCTGGGGAGGCAGGCGCGCGCACCGAGGTCCCTCCTGGAAAAACGCAACACCGCCTCGTGCGCGCGCCAGCACGACGCAACGGGGAAAATAGGCAGGGAGGGCAGTGCACGACGGAGGCAGAGACAGAGGCAGAGGGGAGAGCCGGACACACATACACACACACACACACACACATACACACACGC